CTATGCAGGAGAAATAGGAATTCTGTTGAATCAACACTTGTTTCATTTTAAGTAAGATATAATGAGAGACTCCCGCTGCTGAATTTCATTAAATATAGTTTTTTTTTCGTCGGAGGGAAACAAAACATCTAACGGTACTCCAGGATAGAATTTGAGATATTCCACAGAAGTCTGGAAAAAAAAGTAAAATTAAAATAAATAAGTAAATAGAAAAATGATTAAAAAACATGAAAAAAAAAAGTAACTAGTGAATAAAGCAAATGCTGTTCGGAACGAGAATCTAATTTCATTTTCTGTTTAATATAACATCTCTTTTGCGACATTGTTCTGTTTCCTTCGGAGCCCAGCACTTTGAACCGAGTTGATTAATTCCTGTTTCACGGCATAATAAACGCATTCATAATTACATTCCCTTTAACGAACTGAACTCATTAGTTAACAACTCGCACAATATTAAGACTAAAATTAATGTTTAATGTCTATACACTTATTACAATATCAATGGCGACTATAACAAAAGATTACTACGGATTTAGAAAACACATTAGGTACATAGAACTCTATATATCTAAAGTAGAATTAATGATCGGCGTAAACGGATGCAGGGAGTGCAGTATGAGATGAAGTTGCTTATATTGATCTCAGAATAATAACTATGGAGTAGACATTGGTAAATTTGTACCAGTTCTTTGTCACTTCTGACATTCTGTTGGGTGCCAATTCATTTCAGAAGCTGTTATCATAACTCTCAACATATTTCTGTCATTTCTTGATCTAAGCAAATTTGACTCTCTACCACCAATTTTTGTTCCCGCCCTGCCATCCATGCGCAAAAAATCATGCTACTCAATTGATGGTTGATGTTATTTAGCGGCATATAAATATCTAGCGGCTATTTATTACCGAAATCTAAATATTATAGTGCTTTCATGACTTCAAGTAAATATATTTTAAACGCAATTGCATACCTTCAACTAGAGATAAAAATTATTGCTGATCATTTTGCTTTAAAAATGTATTGCTTGTCATTTTACTATAAATAGCGACCGCAGTATACAACAATTGAGCGAAATGTAACAATAAAAGACTTCAAAAACACAGTACTATTTCAAAGACTGATAAAAACATTTCAATAAATAAATTTGATGAACTTTTAAAATATATTGACCTGGAAATATAAACTGCAAAAAGCGGGCATATAATCACGGCTACTACACCAACACTAATAATATAAATATTGTTGGTAATTTTACCACAAAAAGGCATTAATAATGATTCTACTAGAAATAGCCATGTTTTGGTAATTTTATTACAAATGGGTATTTTTGGTAATTTTACTACAAATAGGCATTGCTGTTAATTTTAATACAAATAGGTATTGTTGGTAATTTTACTTCAAATAAGTATTGTTTGTAATTTTACTACAAATTACCATTGTTGGTAATCTTACTACAAATAGTAATTTTTGGTAATTTTACCATCAATAGGCATTGTTGGTAATTTTACGACAAATAGGCATCGTTGGTAATTTTAAATCAAATAAGTATTGTTGGTAATTTTACTTCAAATAATTATTGTTTTACTCCAAATTACCACTGTTGGTAGTTTTACTACAAATAGGTATTGTTAGTAATTTTACTACAAATAGGTACTGTTGATACTTTTACTACAAATAGGCATTGTTTGTAATTTTAATATAAATATGTAATGCTGGTAATTTTATTATAAAAATGTATTTTTATACTTTATTAATATTTGTTTAGGGATTCCGCATTTGCCAATATTTGGGATATTAGCAGATGTTAACATCCCGGGTCAGGCTTGAAGTGGGAGTAACAACAATTTAGAGTTGGTTCCACGCTTCTCGAAACTTCCAGTCTCCTAATCAAAGGCCTTACTACCGGATGGTTTAGCGTCACACCTAAGAGAGTCACTAACTTGTTTATTCACTGCATCTCACCTTTAACATTTCCTTCCTGTGTGTCCCAGAAGTTTCAAGTAACTCTTTTTAATTCTATGTATCTCTGTTGAAGCATTATTTTTATTGTTGGTATCGCAGTCGTTATTATATGCCCTCTTCTTACAGTATATATTTCCAGGCCATAGTATTTTAAAAGTTTATCAAATTCTTTTATTGAGATATTTTTTTTATCACTCTTTGAAATTATACCTGTGTTTTTGAAGTCTTCTATTGTTACATTTAGTTTATTGTTTCCATACTGCAGTCACTATGTCTGATGATGAAGTCCCAATATTTTCACATTCTCTCACTGGTGTTACTTTGTTTTTTGACTATGTTTCTTTCTGCCAAATCTCATCCTGTTAGCATATCTTCCAAACGAGATTTTTCCCTACGTTATCAGGCTTATTTTAACATTCATTTTAGTCTAGGGGAGAAGAGCCAGATAAAATATCCGTAAAAAATATCAGGAGTTGCCTCCTGATTTATACAAAACTGTGATTTTGGATCTGTTCTATTCGTAAAAAAATATCTCTGGTAGAAACTTGTGAGGTTTTGATCTTGATGAATCTTTTTAAATGCACATTTCAGTCTAGAGCTTCATCATTATGCATGTTTTCCATCCATCTGTAGAACCATATCTATTTGGTTTCTCATCTCTTCTTCATCTGTAACATAATTGTCCGTCATTCAGTCACCTATATGAAGAAGGATATAATATAAGATTTCTGCACACACTTCTTTGCCTCAAACTAAATTTTCGTCTGTTTTAAACCTGTACTTCTTTTTCCGCTTGCATCTTACTCTATTACAATATGCCTTCGATTTCTATGATATACTTTGACAAATCACATTTTCATCCCCTACAAACGATGACGGATAAGAGATCAAGAACAGATGAAAACTTTATATTGTTGCATATTTTCAGAGTAAGTATTTTTTTTTCTTTCTAACTTCTAAATGTATCATGTTTATAGATAAGAGACATATTTGACAGAATTTCCGGTTATGATGTCGGTTTGAAAAGTTTCGCATAAGTGATATCTGGAATAAGCATTCCTTTGAGACATTGGCAACAAAAGAAATAATTGAACAGAAGCAGTTTATGCGATCAAAGTAGACACAATGTAATCGATTAACGAGAAACTTGATCAATTCGGATGTAAGACACGCGGTTATGGCAATTGATTTTTTCTTGTTTGCTTTCATGTAAATATTTAATGAATTTAAGTAGGAACAAGTCGATGGAATAGAATAATGGTTAAAATCATGAAAGTAAGTTAATCCCGGCCAAAATATAAGAAAACTGTTTGCATTGAGAATTAACAGAATGATTGCTTTAAATAGCGGCATCTTTCTATAGGGCGATGCGTTGTTGTGCACATTGTTAGAGATTTGCGGAAAGGTTTTCAAGAGTATGTAGATTACACTATTAGAACATAGTTGTCACTTTCATAGAATCTCAACTGACACTTATGGAATGTGTTGGAACAGAATATCCAGGTAAATAAAAAATATATATATATATCTACTAAATCTGTAGCAGTCTAAAAAGGAAACAGTATTTAATTCCCTCGCATTTAGGATTTTATTTAATGGGTAACTGCTGATTGACGATGACATGAACGATCAACCCATTAGTTAGCGGATCATTTGGATGTCCAGCGTAAAAACTCGGCCCTGACATGCATTGTCTTTACGAATCACGAGATGTTATTAGTTCTGCATAACAATGGGCATATTATTGTGGCCCATATACCCCCACACACATAAACACACATATAAGCATATACAGATATACATACACATATATAAATATAGCCACTCACGCATTCAGATGCATATATATATATATATATATATATATATATATATATATATATATATATATATATATATATATATATAATATATGCATTATACATTACATACATACAGATACACATATAAATATATGCATACACACATATTGATACACACCCGTACAGATAGGCGAAGGTATAAATATATTCAAACACACGCATACTGATACACACACGTACAAATAGGCGAACATATAAATATATTCAAACACACTCAGACAGATGCACACATAACATACATACAGATGAACACACACATATACGGACACACACATATAAAGATACACACATAGAGGTACACACACAAGGCCACTGATTAAAAACAACGGGAAAATCTGATTTTTTACTGCATATTTCCACTTTTTACATCTGTTGCGTATTCAGATCAAAATTCTGCATGAACAGTCTGAAATTTATTTTCGTTATGTTGATATGTTCAAGTACATTCAGCCATCTCAGTTATTTTAAAATGAAACAATACAGTGACTCCCTGGTAGGCGCAATTCCTTTGCGTGTGTGTGTGTGTGTGTGTGTGTGTGTGTGTGTGTGTGTGTGTGTGTGTGTGTGTGTGTGTGTGTGTGTGTCTGTTTTTGTTTTTGTTTCTGTGATTTATGGTGACTAATTGAATGAAAATATGGACAATTCTCTGTAATGCGTTCCATCCACTAAAAAGCCTTTATCAGGCGACTGTAATATATTAATTGATTGAATTAGACGTTGAGGAGACAGCGAAAATCTTAAGAAAACTTCGTTTCAAACTATACATCGAGCAAAACGATAAAGATATACTGACACTAAACTTCAAATTAAAATTAAAAATTTTCGGCGTCTGATGTCTCCAGATGTAAAGCCCGGCTAACTTCCTTCGATTTCGCATGACATTTGTTTCTATTTTGTCAATGTTTTTTGTTAAATATCCCATATTGCGATAACGTCAGGTTCGTTGATAAAAGTGAAGCGTTGGTTAGGGACAGAGGTATACTTTGCTGTTGAAGTCTCAGAAATCAGTGCACTTTGTATACATTTTTGTCATAGTAAATGAATTTCTCTTTAAATTTAAACAGCATTTTTTTTATATTTACATTCATTAAATTAGACGGCTAATACAATGTGCGTGTTGTTTTGTAAATGATCCCAATTGTATTCATATATTATTTCAATTAAATTTCTAATTTACCGCTATATCACGTCGAAACACCGGTTTTCATACGATCACGGAAGTTAAGCAACGCCGAGCCTGGTCAGTACCGAGATGGCTGACCGTTTCGGAATATCAGGTTCTGTAAGTTTCAATGTACGGATGATGGAATGGATGATGTTTCGGAAATCGAAATTTCGAGAGCTGAGTTCCAATTTCAGATGTATTCGTTTTATTCACTGACACGCAATTATCATTGCGAAAGGCATGAACCCACCTCTTCTACTAACCAGCTACAGGTTAATTGGTAGGACTTGTATCAGTAAATAATTATTATCTCTAAAAAATTCTTAAAATCTAAAACAGATATTTTCTTGGTTTAATTATCCTGAAAATAGTTGTTAAACCAAATCAATGAATCAACATAGATATCTCACGTACATATACGTTGTAATTTTTCATTAAATTTATAGTGTCAATTCCAGCATAAACTTTATTTTTTTTACATTATTTTAATTTAATTAAATATCTTATTGATTTGGAAGTATTAGAAACAAACAATAAATTAAGTTTAGATAAATTTTAACCATGCAGGAGTTAGAAAATAATACATAACTTCCTCGTTTATAAGTATTTGAATTTCCCGAGCTTTGTGTATCCGGACGTGAAATTAAAAAGAAAAGGAAATCATTCGAAAATTTTTCAATTATTCGAACTAAATCCATTCTAAAATTTAATCTCAGACATGTGTTTTGAGCATCTAGAAAGCCATACTCAACGTTGCACATTTCAATTTCAAACCTGGAAACAATGATTACGTGTGCGAAATCTTTAAATTAATAGAAACTACAGTCACAAATAAATCTATGTTAATCCAGCCTTGGTAGTGAGCGACAGAAGAAAAAACATGAGACCACCTGGAAATAGACATATATTGACTCATGTAATTTAATCTTAAAAAAAGTAAGCTAGACAAAACACTGAATCAATCGTATGAAAATTAAATACCTTTCTTAAAATGAGAGTTTCATTTTTTTCGATTATTAAATTATTCAGTTATCCGCAAATTTGAAATATCGGATAATATTTTGCAACACTTGTTAAATGGAGTCCATTTAATCGAGGTAATACCGTTTTATGCATCTAGTTTTATTAAAATTATTTGCATTATCTATTTTTTTTTTTTGCATTTTCATTAATTTTATGAAATTTGCTGTTAGCATTATATATGAAATATCTGGTTTTATTCATTGATATATTTGCTAGAGTTTATCATTCATGTGCAGCTTATTTAAAGCCAGTACATATTTTTACATTGTAAGAATAAGAGATGATGATTTACTGATACAATTCTTTCTAATTAACCCATAGCTGGGAGGAGAAGAACTGGATTTATACCTTTCGCAACGTTATTAGCGCGTAAGTGAATATAACGGACATGACTAAAATTTGAACTCAGCTCACAGATTAAGAATTCCGAGTCGTTATACATTACACCACCCTCACATGCAAACATAAATCACCTGTTAATCTCTAGCGGTCACCCTTCTAGGTACTGACCAGGCTTGACGTTGCTTAAAGGGATTTTACCGGAACCTAAATTTGAACGTGCTCTGGCTGTAAGTAAATTCTTAAGGTTTCCAAATTGTAATTCTTCTGAAAGATTAAGATAATGATTCTGTATTTTAATTCGTTGTTGTAACGTGAATAGAGAATAAATAAAGTATATTTGTTTAGAAATTTATGAGATATAACACTTTAGATAATTATCGGTTAAGTTTAAATTGATGTCGAAGAAAAGTAGTACATTGTTTGTTACAGTTTGATGAAAGATATCCATTTCACGTTCTTTGTTTCGTAATATTAAAAACTTAATTAACATCTCTTTGTGGAAATATATTAATGAAGCATCGTTAAGATGTTCGAAATATGTTTGTTGTTTATGAAAACGTTGTTGAAAACATCAGCTTCTAGAAATTTTAATAAAATATATGCAAAAACAATTAAAGAAGCAACTAAATATATTTTCTGTGCTGTGTTCTCAAGGATTTTATTGGTCATGGCTATGCACAGTCCTTTGTCACTCTTAGTTCATATTGTATTTTGGTAGCTCTCCTAAAACCTGCCATTGATTTTCACAAGTTCACTGTATATTTGATGCTCTGTTTTCCTCTGAATCTTTTATATATCCTGCGAGTGACAATTAACTGAACCTATTTTTCTCATTGTTTCCGAAAAACTTCAACTTCGTCGTTACTCACATGTTCAGTCCATGGTATGATCAGGATCCTTCTGTAGAACCGCATTTCTATAACGTCAAATGTGAAACGGCAATATACAAAACTGTCGATTCGTAATAGATAAATATATATATATATATATCTAAAATATATATATATATATATATATATATATATATATATGTATAATAAACATATATATATATATATATATATATATATATATATATATATATATATATATATATATATATATATATATACTCGAATCACCCGTCGAATTCGATGTATCATTAGAAT